ATATCTTAGTCTTAAGATCAAGGTCACGAGTTTTGGCATTTTAACCCTGATTAAATATGGTCACTTTTTTTTTTCTAAGATGTTATAATGGTATTATTACCTAGGTCACGAGTCATTCAACATTGAACTTACTTTGTATTGAATTGTCTCTGTCTCATGACTCAGGTTGTGAGTTAACCTAATTGACTCATTTTTTCTCTCTTTTCTTAATTGACTTTTTTCATTCAATTTTATTAATTAATATTGTGTTTGATTGAGAATTAGACTTCATGATTTATTTTTTATTAGGTTATCATGGTCTCATGACTCGATGATAGTGCTTAGCGGTTAACTTGATTTATTTTTTATGATATTTTTTTAATTAAATTTTTTACATTTTTCATTGTTTAACACCAGGTTTCGACATGAACGATTGAGAATTGAGCTTTATAATTTATTTTGACTTTCTCTTTATGGGTTATCTCAGTTTCAGGACCAGAATTGTGGATTTGACAGGTTAACCAAGGCTAAATCATGCCATTTTTTTATTTGTTTATATAAGATTGTCTTGATTTGACAATTCAGGTCATGAGTTAAGTGAATTAACCCGGGTTATTTTTTATGTTCTTTTTTTAATCTCGTCTTTCAATATTAGGTTGATCAAAGATTGAAATTTGTAATTTGTTTTCATTTGTTTTTCATGAGGATATCTCAATCTTATGACTTGAGTTGCAAGTTTGACATATTAACCCAGGTTGTTTTTATGTTTTTTAATTAATTATTTTTTAATTTCATCATTTAATATTGATTGATTGAGAACTAGTCTTAATAATTTATTTTAATTTGTTTTCTATAGAGTTATCGTAGTTTCATAATCCAAGTCGTGAATTTAACACATTAACACGAGATGTCCAAAGTTAATCTAGTATGTTGTTATTTTAATATTAAAAAAAACATCATCTTAAAAATTTGTTTAGCCAGAATTTGTTTTTATAAGTTGCATGAGTTGTTTTTTTACCAATAAAGCTAACTAGGTTGCATCAAGTAAACTCTTAAATAATTTAATTTTTTTATTAAAAAAATCATTAATAATATTTAAATATTTATTTCACGTTCAAGAAAAAATTACCTTAATCCATAATGTATCACAAGCCAATCATCCAATAATATCTAAAAATAATTAATTTAGTGTCGATGCTTAAAAACTAGTTAAGAATTTTGAATAGTTATAACTAAAAATAAAAGAATTCTTGTTCATGGGTCAATTTCAGGGGTGAAGATATCATAAAATTTTAGCCGCGCTGTAAATAAATCATATCAAATAATAGCAACTTGATATTTTTTAGCCTAATTAGTCCAATAATAAATTATATATAAATAGTTATACACAGCTTAATTAGTTAATAAATATTATTTTAAACTGAGAAATATTAAACAAGAACACTTTACATCAAGTTACCTAATAATTACATCAGCCGTACCATATCGGGAGCAAGGAACGGTAATTCTCTCCCCTCTCCACTCATAATCAACCTCACATTTATTAATTAATTATATGTTTTCAAAATTAAGACGATAAGTTTTAATCTTGATTAACAAGGACATGTAAGACAACCATGGTGGCTCTGGCTCATGTTCATGTCACGTCCACACAAGCAAATGTATGGAGACGTTAATTTTTGCAAGTATAATAATAGTTTTTCTGGCCTCCTTTATCGTATCTGTTCTTATTGTCTTGATTGTCGTTTTAGACATGTATTAAGTATACACTCAATATATATATATATATCAACTTTACCACCAAATCATTTTGATTTTTCAATGAGAACATCTTCTTAAAATCACTCAATGAAAAACGTTTGGTTTTTTTATAAGATAACGTTTTTTTTCATTAAAAGAAACACTATTTGCATGAAAATATTTATAAAATATCTTAAAAAATAGATTAATATTTTTAATTGAGAATTTTTAAAAATTTAAAGTTAATATTGATACAAACAGTTATTTAGCGGTAAGATTAAGCTTTCATTTGATAGTGCAGTTTAAACAAAGGTTGGCAAAAAAATCATTTTTTTATAAATTTTTTTAAGTGTATTAAAAATATTTTTTTAAAAAAATATTTTTAAATAAAAATACTTTAAAAAATAACTATAATTATATTTATAAATATCCTTAAAACAAACCTGGATGATATTTTAAAAATCTATCCTATTTTTTTAATTGATTATGATAGTAGTGTAGAAGAACAAGGCAGAGTACTTATCACTGAAATGAATCAGTACCTGCAATAACTATATATTTTCGATTCTGTACAGTGTTGGTGGTTTTCCTAGTGTGCATAATCCAGGTAGGAAGTTAGAAACAAATGAAATGGTAGGACCAAATTGAAAAAAAACCATTACTAGACATACTAAAATGCCTAGGCATTCTACTGTAGCATTTTCTCTTCACTTTTCGGTCATCAATTTTCTTTTTCAATCACAACTTTTAATGACCAAACTATTGATCAATTTGTCAAAATATTTCAAGGACAGATAAATTTAAAAGAGAAGAAACCAGAGTGTTAAAAAAAAAGGAATAACATGGCCAATCCAAAATCTTGAGAAAAGTTCTTTTAAACCCTCATAATTTTAATTTGCTTTGGATGTTCATTTTCGTTGCATTTTGGTACATGAGTTGGAGAAATGATAGATAAAATCATCTGAAAATGACGAGAAGAGAGGAATTTGTTGGTTTGATATTTTTATCATTATAAAAATTATTATTTTTAGTATGAACGAGTTATATTTAATAAGAAAAAGTTGTTACGATAGTTTTGTCTCTAAACTTGCATTAGAGAGGAGATATGGCCCTCAAAGATATTTTTCAATTCAGGTTGAATTTTAGTTTTTTGACTCATATTTTGTTTTCATGGTTATTAGGTGATTTAGAAAGGCTTAATGATGTTTTTTTATTAAAAAATAATTGAAAAATAAACTTTTAGGTCCAAAAACCAGCTCTTTTAATTTTAGTTGACTCAATATGATTGGATTATTGAATGATTGAATTATAAAAAAATCAATTTAAAAAAAATATAATAATTTAATTTAAATTTATATATCGTATAATCTATGAATAGATTTTCCTTTTCTTGTTTTTTTTAATAAATGAGTGGATAAGAATATGAATGGGGTTTACATGTGTGTTAAATCCATTAACTCAAAATTTAATCCAATGTTATCCATTAACGAAGGAGGTGGTGTTCCAAATCAAGAAATTTATGGTTTAGTAAATTCACCACGTGGGTTAAATACCAAGTCAAGAGAGCAAAACATAAACATGTACGATGTCCTTGTTGTGACCGTTTCTTCTTGGGAATAATAATATGTTTCATATGTCAATATTGTTTTATTTATTTTTTTATTGTGAAGCTTGGAGAATTCTCGACTCAAAGTGGATGACGAGTTAAATATTTATATTTAATTTTATCACCGGATTGCGATTAGAACAACTCCTGGTAAAGGAAGAAGTCAAGAAACGTTAGAGTATAGAAGAAGGGAAAAAAGGTTCATGTACCAAAGCATGGTTTCAAGGGAAGGGTTAATTAAATATTAGGGTTTGGATCTAAATTTCTCATTTGAAAATACCAAAGCCTAACCCCATGGAACCTTCAATGAAGATTTATTTCGATTCCTTCTTAGGGTTTGGGATGCAGACAAACAAGTTATTCTCATGGAAAGTTTTGGTCATGAACTGACAAAAGAAGAAAGCAGGAATCCAAATACAATATCGACTGTTTGGATGCTGTGGCTGTGCTAATTTCTCATATGATGCTAATATCTATGATATTTAAATGACATGAACTGATTAGGAAATACTCATTAAGACAGTCCCATTCACTTGCTAGTGGCATATTCCCTGTTCGCAAAGACAAACTCAAGCAATCAAAAGGATAGTTATCCAAGTTGCACATATATATATATATATATAAAATACCACCTAAATCTTTTAAAAATAGGAGGAGGAGAAGAACTCAATAATACAGATGAGATATTATTAGAGTAGAGGGACCATCATGCGATCCTATAGTAAGAATGACTTGTAATTTTCTTGTTGTTTATCATTTCTTTGACTTACTATCATGATCTTATCATTAATAGAGGCCTGTATCATAGTATCATAGCCTTGCTTTAAGTAGTATGTTTAACCACTCTCTTTGAACTTGTCATAATTTCTCCAATGATGGTCATGATCCAGTAAATTACAATTTTTTTTTTGAAAATTTTTATTTTATTTTTCTGTATTATTTTGTTATCGCTCCTTTTTTCAATGATTACTCATAATTATATGCTGGAATGAACTCTCATGCATCAACCAATCTTCATCGGATTTAAGATGGTTAAGAAGTTGAGAGTTTGAAGTGTGTTCAAGTCTTGCAACCTATGATTTAAGGTTTTCATTCTGAAGTATCTTGAAGAAACTTGGCTAGCTGAGACTCTTGATTTGCTTGCAAGAAGTTGCTGAACACCTGAGACTTCCCAGCATTGGCCTGGTTTCTAGGTTTTTTGACTTCTGATTTGCCATGTTCCGAATTTCTATTGCCATCCTCAGAAGCAACCTGGGCATCCTACAGGCCTCGAAGGTTCCTTGAGCAATAAAAAAAGAACAGAGGTAGAGATGTGAAAAGCAAGAGAGGAAACTTTAACATGCTTCAAGCAACTCTAGGCCAAACTTCAATTGGGGAACTAGGATCTTGTTGTCCAGTAAAAAACAAGGTTTTGCTAGGCTTGATGCTGACCCTTTGTAACTGGAGATTGATTTTGCTTTTAACTATCAAACACCTTGAATGGGTTGTTTCTTCCTTGTCTGTCACATTTTCAGCATCAGCAGCCATGACAAGAACAGTGAAAAGAATAGTTGTGAAACAGAAACTAGCACACCCCTACACAATAGCTGGGCAGGAGTGGAGACCACAAATTCTGAAACAGATCTTTTCCTTTCCTTTTCAAGGTGAAAAAACCACAAAGCCAGTACAAACTCTCTTGAAAATGAAAATCTGGAAAGTATCTATACAGAGATCAACTCACAGCAGAGCCAGTCCACGTTCTCCATAATTTTTGGTTCATTGGTTTCGATAATTGACATTGTTAATATTATGTGCTCCATCCTGTGCATGGTACGCTCTTC